CTTCCAAACTGTCTGCAGATCCTGATGGGCAAGTGAATCTCGACCACGTGGAAGAAAATAAGAGGGATGTTGCAGCGATACTCATCTGACTCGTCCCTAGTGATAGGACTGAGATAGTACTGGAGCTCCGGAGCATCCCAAGGACACCAATGCACCTAAACATTTCGTAATTGAGTTAGGTTGTGATATAGTGTACATCGAACAAGAGACATGTATGATAGTAAAGAGAGCGTAATCTAGTGCTGTGTTAGGATGTCGAGACCGTCCGTGTACTCCCTGTACTTGCACCTCGCATTTCCTCTAACTAACTCTGCTTCCGTCCAGATATACAGAGCTGTAGGGAGTGTATCTTGCCCGTTCCATTGCTGCATTGAACACGATAATGAATTATCCATTAATAAACTCATCATATCTAACCATATCGAAGAATATAATGAACCGAAGTACTTACCGGTAAACCAGTATTAAGGGGCCTCCCAACGGGCCATCATTCCCAACAACACCAAACCTGGAGTAGGTACGAGCAACCCCCAAGGTTCGCATACCCTGAGGTGCGACGGTAGGCAACGCATAGCTGTCGATACGTCCATGCCTAGGACTGCGCTGCCCTAGCTGTACACCGCTATGTTCTCCCACAGCTGGCATAGTATGTTAAGGAAGATCTAACTGATGGTGTTGCCCGAGGCGTCTAGGAAGAGGAAAGCACCAAAAAAGTGCTAGAGCCACACTCGAGCGAACCTCTTGATCTGAGCCTCCTCAGCCTATGGGTCCAAGTAATCAAAGCGCTTTGTGATCCAGGACGACGAAACACCAGAACTTTTCCTGAAATTGACCAAAGAAAATGAGACCCGATGGCTGCAGGAAAGTAATGCAAGTATTAAATAGGCTTGAATTTCTCACTTATTTTTCTTGGAAGCCTCGTCGTCGGTGAAAAAAAGCTAGTAAACTGAGCCACCAGCTCACTCCAGTGATCGTTGTCAACTATCCCTGTCACTAGAAGTCCCCCCAACCGAAGGCCAAAAATAGCCTTCATGTCCTCCATGGTCAAGGTCATCTCGCCACAAGGTAGGTGGGACGTGTGGGTCTCAGGCCTCCATCTGTTATAAGAATAGAACGACTGTTAGTTGCCTCAAATTTGTTATAAGAATGTTTACGTACAAATAAGACACTCGCACCTATCTACAGCTGTAGTAAGTAGTACTGGGTCAAGGGGCGAAAGACCGTAGTTGACAACACGGACAAGCTCGAGGAAGCCGGCACACCGTATGTACGCCGCATAACACTCGTTCCACTGGTGCGCCCTGGTGTGCGTGCGGAGCCTCAAAGGAGGCAAGGCCACCTCTGCGTCGTTGTCACTCAAGATGTGTGCTCGGTGCTGGTCGTCGTACTCCACCTCAAGAATGGGGTACGACGGGTGCTACGTGGGAGGGGCCATCCTGTTACAAATTGATAAACAAAGGGTTAGAGTATTCAAATTAACAAAATTCAAATTAACATTATGTAGCATTGCAAAATTTAAACTACTTGTTATGCAATATGAACACAATATGAAAACACATGTATATATTCAAAGTAACATTAACAGACATATTAAACAACTTCACTAGGAATATAAGCATTTGACGAAACTTCATCAAGTCATCAAAATCAACGTATCACGCACTAGTAAGTACCGACATTTAAAAACTAGTATCTATACCCAAAATCCCTAACTAAATAACTAACTATAAACTAAATAATAAATACATAATCAATCCCTAAACCCAAAATCCTAACTATACTACAACACACAACCTCAAACCTAAAAACTACCTACCTAAATTACAAACAAATTCACTAACCTAACTATCCTAAATCACTAACTATACTAAATCACTAACTATCCTAAATCACTGACTATCATAAATCAATAACAATCATAAAACCCTAACTATCCTAAATCATTAATTATCCTAAATCAATAATAATCAAAATAGCATGAAATCGAGAGGGAGGTACCTTTGTAGAAGTGGGCGGCCTTGATGTGCCGGTGTTCGTGGCGCGGCCGGCGCGGGTGCTGCACGGCGGGAGTGGGCAGCCACGACGTGGGCGGGCGGGCCCTACACGGCGTGCGGGCGGGCAGGCTCGCTCGCGATATTTATCTGGCCCTGCCGCGCCATGTGCTCGCGGCAGGCCCTGCCACGTCAACCGTCAGCCTTTTCGGTCGTCGCCACATCAGCCCCCTGCCGCGCCACCATGCATGGCGCGGCATAGGCTTTTGGTCGCGCCATGGCAATAGGCGCGGCCAAAAGTGTTAGTTAAAAAAAACAGATAGTGTTAGATTTAAAATTAGTTTTCAAAAAGTGTTAAAATTAAAAAAAAATCTTGCACTACGGGTCCAAGTGGGCACTCCCTGGTCCCTCCCCCAAGGTTTCACCTACTACTCGGTTTTCGAGATTCAGAAAACTAGCTATCGGAGAAAGGTGTAAATAACGGTAACAGTCAAGATCTCCGTCTGTCCAGATGGCTTCCATTAAAAAAAATTGGACGCCTGCTCGCCCGTCACGGTCTTATCCACCGCGCCCAACTCCATCGCGCTCGTCTTTCACGCCCGACTCCACCGCGCTCATCTTCCTTGTCTCCGCCTGTGCTTCGTGGCCGTCGTCCTCCATCCTCAACAGCTCTGTCGTCCGGTCCGCTGTCGGCCTGGCCAGTGCGACCTCCCATCAGCTGGATCGAGAGGTCCGCCAGTAGGCCTGGATGAAAAACTCGTAACTCACTAGCTCGCTCGACTCGCTCGTTAGTGGCTCGGCTCGAGCTCGGCTTGTTTGAATTTTTAAACAAGTTGAGCCAGCACTTAAGCTCGATTAGTTAACAAGCTAGCTCGATCCAGCTCGCGAACCTCTCGCGAGTCAAAACGAGCCAAAGTAAATCAAATGACAGCAACTTGAATCAATCCATATATGCCATAACCCATTGGCCCAATATGATAAAAGCCTACCCCCCAACTCCCACACTCCCACCCATAGGCCCTAGATTTCCCCCATCCGCCAGTCCGTGCAGGCGTCGCTGTAAACGCATGCACGCTCGGCTGTTCCCCTTCTAAGCTGCCGCACGCGGCACACGCGTAAGTTGCCCAGCGCCTGCTACTCGCTAGGGCCTTGCAATCGCTTTGCTTACTCCCTTACAAGCCAATGCATAGCAGCAAGTATTAGCTTTTGTTTTTTCTTAAATTTCCTAAACCAACATCAAATTATCTGTCTTCTTATTTATTTTCCTTTTCCCAAATCAGTACCCTTCTTTGTCTTTTGCTGGACGAATAACCTCAACAGAAACAAAAAAAAATAAGTTAGCTCGTGAGCCAAACGAGCCAGCTCAAGCTGCCACGCCGAGCTAAGCTTCTAGCTCGTTAGTATAAAGAGCCAAGTCGAGCCAGCTTGATAACGAGCCGAGCCATAACGAGCCAAGCTATAACAAGCCGAGCTGGCTCGATATCTAGCCCTATCCGCCAGCGGCGACGGCCCTCCTCCGCCCTAGCAGGCGCAACCTCCCATCTCTTCCATAGCCGTCGTCATCTTCCTGCCAACGCGCTCGTCTTCCTTGCCTCCGCCCGCGCTACGTGGGCGTCATCCTCCATCCTTGGTAGCTCCGGCGCCCGGTTCGCTGTTGGCTTGGTCGACGTGACCTCCTATCACTCGTCGTCCACCATCCTCGGCCACCGACTGGCCAGAACCGGCCATATTCCCACTCTACGCCGCGTCGTACGGAAGAAAGGTGAAGAACACATGTTGCAAACCCATGTTTCAAGTATTTCAAATGTTTCATAGGTATGTTGCAAGTGTTTCATGTGGATGTTACAAAAGTAGATCAGGATGTTGCATATGTTGTAATGGTTGTACACGTATGTTGCGAGCTTTTGTTCCAAATGTTTCATCTGTTTTTCAAACGTATGTTGCAAGTGTGTTTATTTAAATGTTGCATATGTTTCACACATATGTTACAAGTGTTTTTATCTGATTGTTGCGTATGTTTTTGTATAGGTTCATGTGTTTTTGCAAGTGTTTCAGATGCATGTTTCAAGTGTTTCATCTGTCATTAGACGTATATTGCAAGTGTTGCATCTGAATGTTTTAAAAAGTAAATCGGGTGTTGCATCTCTCTCCTTGCATTCTGCTACCCCGCCTCGGTGTCTCCTCCTCCTCCCGGCGCCAGCTAGGCAACCACCGCCCCCTCTTCCTCTTCTCGATGGTGGTGACGTTTGGGACGGCACAGGCCCCACATGGGTGCGCGAAACAGCATGGGAAAAGTACAGCAGGCACGGCGTCCGAACAGCTTGTCCAGCTAGACGTTTCGGCCACTAGCAAGCCTGTTAAAAATAAACCACCCTATCAATTTATTCACTTAGCATAATTATTATTGATTTATCAAGTGATTTTTGAGTATTTTCGGTGCATGCTAATGTAATTTTCTATTTTTGTCCATCGTAGCAATTTATATACTATACCAACAAGAATAAATAATATTTTTTGATTTTTTGTTCTTTTATTACGAAAATCTGTGCTGAGGTCAGCAAAGTCTCCTCGTCGTCTGCACTCAGGAAGTCTGGAGGGATCAGACGCCAAAAGCCCACAAAACCCTGAGCACTTGAGCATTTGCAATTTCGCGCACCCAGAAAAACTCGAGGCCTACTCAAACCTAACATTGAATTCTAGTCGGAGTCGTTAGCGTTAGAGCGACGCCACCGCCCACCGCCTTCGCAGCTGTCGGACCCCCTTCCCTGTTCCCCTCATCAATACAGTTCATTGGCTTCTCCCAATCGCTTCTTTCCATCTCGTTTCGCAATTCGCGCTCCGTGCTCTCCACTCATATTTGGATACGACCGCTTCCTCGCGTCCAGATTCCCATAGCCTCTCCAAGCTCGAGTTCAGATTCGCTCTCTCCCTGCTCTCCGCTCGTGTTTCGATCCCGTTTCCACGCGCGCAGATTGCAGCCGCCTTTTCTCTCCCAATCTCGAGCTCAGCATGTCTGCGGCGGTGGCGGTGGCGCCGATGGCCCGCAAGCGTCCGGCACCGGACCAAGAACTGCGCGCCGCTGACGCGAAGAACTAGCGACCGCGGTTCAAGGATCTTAGGAACATCGACGAGTTCGAGGTATTGGAGGTGCTCGGCGAGGGCGCCGAGGGCGTCGTGAGCAGGGCGCGCGACCGCCGCAGCGGCAAGGAGGTCGCGCTGAAGTGGATCCGCGGCGATGGGCCTGACGGCCACGGGCCTCCCGACCGCCGCGCGCTCGTCATGGAGGCCGGCTGCCTCCACGCGTGCCGCGGCCACCCGTCGATCATCGGGATCCATGGCGTCGCCGCCGACCCTAAGACCGGAGACGTGCATCTCGTCTTGGAGTTGATCCGGGGCGGGCTGAGCCTCCGCGACTCCATGTGGAGTACCCCGTCGGAGGACGCGATCCGCTAGATGATGAGGCAGCTTATCGGCGCTGTGAAGAAGGTACACGATCTTGGCTTCATCCACCGGGATATTAAATGTGACAATGTCCTTGTCTGCCCTTTGGGCGACCTCAAATTGTGTGACTTTGGGTCGGCGACGCGGAAGAAGCCCGATGGGAAACGGCATGATGTAACACCCCATATGTTAAAAAAACTGTTAAAACTTATCACGAACATCATCAAGCATAATCACCAAGTATCATGTCATGTATGCACTCCAAAGTTTGTAATTACACATAAGTCATTAAAAAAATTGACCGCACACGAGTATCATCGTTTCAAACTTTTTTTTTTCTCTCCAAGCTATTCCGTCGGTGGCCTGTTTGTTTTTCACCGTTATATGTGGGCCGGTCAGTCAAAACGTCCATAATACCCCTCTCATCCCTATCCTCTCTCTCAAACTCGATCTCTCTTCTCGTGTGCGGGGGGTGTAGCTCAGCGCGCGCACGCATGATGGATGGATGGTCGGGAGGAGCTTCGCTGCTTACAGCCGCCCGGCGGGCCGGGCCGAGCTCCCGCGCCCGTGCTTTCGCGATGGCGGGGGAAGGCGGGCTAGGCTGATGGCTGAGCTGGAGCAGCGGCGCCGAGGCGGTCACCGAGCTCCGCCGAGTGGGGCTCTTCACCTCCTGCGTCGCGCGCTGCTCCTGCCCCGGGCGCCCCCCAGCAGCCGGAGGTGGTCGGATCGGCACCTCCGCTCCCGTGCGTGGCCAGGGGCGAGACTAACGATGGCCGAGCTCCGACGAGCACCTGTCCGCGCCCGCCGCCGGACAAGTCCCGCGCCGTCGGCCGTGACACCTCCAGCGCCACCCTGTCCCCGTGCGCTCCGCCACACGAGCTCCAGCCGCCATGGCCACGTGCGCCCCTGCCCGCCATGGCCGTCGGCCGCGAGACCTCCAACGCCACCACAGCCTGCGCGCGCCGCCCACGAAGTTTCGCCGCCATGGTGCACGGCCGCGTGCTCCCGAGCCGCGCGGCGCTTAATCGCGGCCTTCGCCGCACCAGGCAGCGGTCGGGAGCAGCCCACCTGCGCGATGGGCGCCGCCGCCTCTGGGCGCGATGGCCTACGACTGTGAGCCTCTCGCCGCCCTGCCAAGCCGGGAGCTGATCCCGTCGTCCGCAACCTCGTCAAGCCGGCGTTTGGGTCCACGGCCACGCCACCTCGAGTCCGCCTCCCGCTCCACGCGCTCACGACGTACACACGCGGCCGTGATCAAGCTCGGCCTTGGCGCCGACGTGTGCACCGCCAACTCACTCGCCTCGGCCTCGTTAGGGACGCCGAGGCTGGCGCTGGCGAGCGGTGTGGACGAGAGAAGGGTATTCTGGACGTTTATACTGACCGGGCCCACATGTAACGGTGAAAAACGAACAGACCACTGACGGAATGGCTTGGAGAGCAAAGAAGTTCAGAACGATGGCACTCGTGTGCGGTCAATTTTTTTTAATAGCTTATGTGTAATTACAAATTTTTTTAATGACATACATGTAAAAGCCTCTTCATTTATAGTATTGCTATGTTGCATAAATAGTGTTTCATATGTTTCATGAAATGTTAATAACAATAATGTTTAAAGTTCTTTATGAATTTATATATGTGAATTTGTTTAAACAAGTAAAATTTTGTTAAATATAAACTTTGTTGTTAAAGTGTGCTCTTGAATATAGAAACAAAGATATGAAATGTTTTCAAGTCAAATATGATGAAATTTAGCTTCAAAAACTGAAATTAACATCATTTTCCACACTTAAGTCAAACATGATGAAATTGAGCTTCAAAAACTGAAATTAACATCGTTTTCCACACTTAAGTCAAACATGATGAAATTGAGCTTCAAAAACTGAAATTAACATCGTTTTCCACACTTGGTCAATTTGGTTGTCCCTGAAAAACATTGCTTAAGTTCAATCTTTGGAGAATTAATAAATGATTTTTCATAAATAAAATTTGTCCAAACCTTCTTCCATTGCTTGGTAGATTGATTGAGCTTTGTTATCATGTAATTGGTTGTTATGTTTGATCAATGTTTGGCCTCTAATTAATTGCTCAAAGTGCTAACCAAAACTGTTTTCAAACCCTAACTAAAAATTCAGTTTTGCAGTTTCAAAGTAACCATCTTTTCAACTCGAAAACTTCAAAATCTTTGATCTTTTGGGGTTGATGTTTAAACCAAAGTTGGTGAACTTGGATCACCGAGCAACTTTTGTTCTTGGAGCTCATTGAGTTGCTGCTAGATTTCAAGAGAAAATGGAAGGGGAAGATGGGGTTTCAGTCGGCTACAGTAGGTCGGCAGCAGTGCCACGCAGTAGCTTCGCCGGCGAGCCGCCGTGATCGGTTTCCCCGCTCTCTCGCGCGCGGGCACGCAGTTGTTTCGGTGGCAGCGTCGCAAGCAGTTGCTGGCGCACCTCAATGCTTCGCCGCGCCATCTTAAGCCCGAGTCGGCCGCTGCCTTCCTCTTTTCCCTTTCCTCCTCGCCGTCGTTCATCTCTGCGCGCCGGCGAAATTCATCGTTGCCTTTGCATCTCCATCCAATTGCTCGCGTCTCCAACTCCGCCTATTCCTCGCGAATCCCATTGACCAGCTCGCACCGCCTGTCTCGGCCGGAATCACTCGTGCGCCGGAATCCCGCCGCGGCGACCCGCCATGGCCGCGGAGGCCAACTCCACCGTGGCCAGCCCACTCTGGACCAGCATTCGCCCCCGCTCTTGTTGTTCTAGCATCTTTGTGCACCGTTTATGCTCATCATCTTGATTGTTTAATCGTTCCCCTTCAGGTCGCGCTGGAACGCCAGCTCGCCGCCGGTGCACGCCGCTGAACCCGCCATCAATGTCAGCAGCCGCATCCATGTCACGTCTGCTTCAACCGTTCACGTAGACGTGATTGTGGTGAGCTCCTGGTCATGCCCGTGCTCTTCGTTTAATCGCTACCATGCCGTAGTGGCCGAAATGCCGTCGCGTCGAATCGCTTTGCCCTGCCGTGCCGCCATGGCCGCGGGCAAGCTCGCGCGGAGCCCCAACTCGATCAATCGATAGCTAGTATAGGTCCATTAGGTCGTGCTGAGTCTGTTGGTGCCGTCTCCGTTGCCAAAGGTCCCACCGTTGGCCACCTCCGCCTCGCCGGAGCGCCGCCGTGCCGCCATAGCCACCGCCGTGCATGCTGCGAAACCCTAGACGATCAACCGGTAGTCTCAAGCGATGCGCGAGGTTGTCTCGAGCGCGTAGATGCCCGCGCCGTCGCCGGAGACCTCGCCGGCGACGAGCACCCGTCGGTCAAAGTCGACGTGCCCGCGGTCAACGACGGGCAGGTCGTGTTTGACCCTGGGCCCGTGTGTCAGCGACTGTGGGTGAGGGAGGGGTGAGTGAGAAAAGAATTTGGCATAGAAAATAAATTATTCTTTTTTCAAAAAAATGTTTATATGTGCTTATACTTGTTTAATTTGTAATTAAATAAATGGAGCTGATAAGGTTATGAAATTTTTTGTGTAGCTTTGTTATCATGAAATCTACCTAGGAAAAATATGAGTTGAGCATTTTCAGTAGTTTTGCTATGGTTGAAAATTACATCTTCTAATTAATAAATGTATCTTCCATGATTTTTATAGATAAAAATATTAATCCTTTAATCATGAAACTTTTTGTGTAAATGTCATGTGCTAATACCTGCCTTCACAAAAAGTTTAATACTGTTTTGATAATATTAACTTGGTTAATTAATTTAAGTGTGTTTAAATGCCTTTTATTTAATTAAATAAATACCAAAATGATTTCTATAAATCCTTAAATGGCTTTGGTGTATTTGGGAGTTATTTGTAGACCTTGGGACATCCAAACCCCTGATGTTCCTTTGCAATCTAATTACTTGTTTGATATGCTTACAATCAACTTGTTTGAATAATAATTAAAACAATGATTAGTTTTATAATTCTTTACTTTGACCATGAATTAAGGAAAATGTTAATCACTTCTTGTTGGTCCATGCTAAAGTTATAATTCTTTCTTGATAAAAACTAATTAACTTGTTAATTAGTAAATGCATGTGATTAGGTCACGTGATGATCCTTGTTTGCTCTCATAGTTGAACTTGGAGTAATGTTTAGTTAAATACATTGCCTTGCTTGACTAGTATAATGTGATAAGTGTTGCTTCCATGTTAAACAACTAATTAACTTGTTAAGTTAATCCTTTTATGATAGACAACTAATTAACTTGATAGTTAATTAACTAAAATGCTTTTATGATAATAACCCTAGTTCTTTGGTGAAGGAAAGTTGTACTGAACTTTCTTAACTTTGTTAGGCTTCTGTTATGCACTTGAATGTCTCTCATCATATATCATAGCATGTAGTCCATCATGTTAAGCAAAGTATCATTTATTACGTGTAGTGCTTACGAGAGTGAGAAGACTCGTGTTGATCAGGTTTCGGAGAAGGTCCATCCACCAGTAGTAGTGATGCCAAGTCTGACTACTAGATCTTTATCTGGAATTTAACCTTCTCTGCAACGCAGGCAAGCCCCGGAGTATAAACCCTTCTCTAGTATTTACAAATCTTTAAAAAAGGGCGTACCCAGTGCAGAGAGCTCCTGCTCTGTGCGGGGTCTGGGGAAGGGTGTCAGTGGCAAGCCTTACCCTTGCCTGTGCAATGCGAGGAGACCGCGACTCGAACCCGGAGCCTTTCGATCACAAGCGGTAAGGCTCTACTACTTGCACCAGGCCCGCCCTTCTAGTATTCACAAATCTTTATTACACTTTAAGTCTTGTGAGATATGCATTAAGTACTTAGGAGTTTGTCGAATACCGTTGCTACATGATTACCTTGATATTCAGGTATCCTTAGTCAGACCCTGCTAGTATGAATAGGTTGATATCCTCTTATGCTTAGTAATGCTTAAACTTCGATAGAAGTCGAGCGATGGTTTCATCGTTCGCATGAAACAGGTTTACCTTGCTCTTCTCGGCTCTGTTGATGGCTCGTGAGAATACCATGATAAGGTTAATGTTTAAATTGAGACCGGGCGGGTAGCTTGCATCGTGAAATGAATCGGTGTAGTGCTCCGCCTGTGTCGATTAAGGACCGTTCGTTGTAGGCCCACCGTGTGGTCGAGACCTTGTAGTACTGGCCACATACTCTGGTGAGCCTAAGACCTCAACTATTCCATTATGTGAAAAGCTAACCACGCACTGAGAGTGGGAGATGGCGAGAGTAGCGTGTACCCACTTTACGGAAACATCACGGATGACGTAGGATGGTGGAGTACTGTATTCTCGGGTAGCGTAGACCGGTTCACGTTTTGGAGGATCCAAGTGAAGGTTAATATATGTAAGTCTCGGACCTGTATATGTCGTGTGGCAAGGAAACCCCAGCTGGGACAAATCGATTCAAATCGTCGTGCTCCTTGGTTATGGAGACTCGACCCTCTGACCATACATCATAGTTAAACAGTGGAACATAATTACCTATGGTTACTATGGATATAAGTTGAGATGAGATGAATGATGAAGTGATTGCTATAGACCAGGTGCAAACTGGATACTGATAATGAAGTAATACTCTGCTAAAACATTAAAAGTAAGGATCCACTCATAGTAAGTTTTTCTGCAAAAGTTACTTCTTACTTCATTTTTTCCTTAAAACCAGCATGCCCTTGGAGTCTTTTCTTTTGGTCGGGTAAGACTTGTTGAGTACTCTCAAGTACTCAGGTTTATTAACCTCTATTATAGGTTCTGACTTATGCTGCTAATTGAGGTCACGTCAGTGGGCTCGACATGATCTGGTTCTCTTCTACCTTAGATGTTTTACCTAAGTCGATTCCACAATTCTATTCACCATTTGAACTTAAGTTAAGTTTTTACTTGAACATGTTCTGTAACCTAAATGTTATAAGTCTTCCGCACTCTGATGTGAGTTATTTTTGTACCAACTGTTGTAATGTTGTGGTAACTCCATGTTGATCATGTATGAGTTATAAAATGTGGATGATTCGAGGTTTTCCGAGGACACCCGACAGACTACCAAAGTTATCTGGCTCTCATATGCAGTCGTCTGAGGTTTTTAGGACAATAACATATGCACGTGGGCTATATAATTTGAATGATTATGCCACACATGACCTGCCCCGTCGGGACGCTTCAGTACAACTCGCCGGAGCTGCTCGACGCCAATTGGTACTACGGCCCGGCCATAGACATGTGGGGGCTCGGGTGCGTTATGGCGGAGCTTCTAAGCGGTGAGACTCTCTTCCAGGCGGAGAGCGAGTACGAGATGACTGCCGAAATGTCCGAGTTGCGAGATAGGATGACCTCTGCTGCGGGAAAGCTCGACCCTGAGTGTTTGAAAGATCTGTCGGAGAATAGGCGTGATGTGCTCTCAGGCCTGCTGGCCTTCTGCCCGGAAAAGAGGCTGACCGCAGCGGAAGCGCTTGAGCACCGGTGGTTCAACAAGGCACCCTTAAATTGATGATTTTGTTTAGTTATTAGATCGCCACGAGTAGCTGTTTAGTACCACAGGAACTATTTCATTGCGGTATCGCGGTTTAGCTGATTCTTTATCTTTTATGACATTATTAAACAAAAATTAAGTACATCTGCTGTTTGAGTTACAGGTCTGAATCATCTGCATGGTGTTGTGTCTCCTTTGATCCACAGGGATGGCGAGTATGATTTTCGATAGGTATTGGTCACGGAGAAGCAGATGTGATGTCATAGAGCCTCGTCCTGTTTGCTACTAGTTACTACAGAGCTGGAGCTAATGGCACAGTGTGCTTTGACTGATGGGAAGCATCGTGACAGATTTTCGCCGCCCCAGTCAAGCAAACAGGTATACATGTTACTTCTGCAACTTAGGCCATGTTAAGATCAGAATACTACATACACATCACAGCTTAATTTACATCATGAGCCAGGTTCAACATCTCTAGAATCTGAAAAATCATAATACTTAGCACACGTTTTTTTTGGTTCACTTCCGACCTTTCTTACGAGTCTTTCTTTTACCAGGTATCCTAAACTGAAAAGCAATTGCAAATTCCTAATACATCTTTTTGATTTTGTTGGCTACAGAAAACATGGCTTACTGGAAGCAGCGAGGGAAAATAAGAGCAATTAAAGAAGGTGATGTTAGTACAAATTTTTTCCATGCTCTCATGCCTCAATCAAGTATAGGTCCAGTCAGATCAAATAAATTGAGGTGAGTGTGCAGTTGACAGTGATCATGCTGCTAAGACCCAAGCTTTCACCTCCTACACTGAGCTGTTTGGTGCAGTAGTGGATACAAGATGGGGGCAATTTCTTATTTGGCCCTGGTTTAAAGTTGTCTTTCTTCCTTGGTCTTGAAATAAAATTTTCTTACCTATTTGATCTCACTTGAAGTTTCACTTTTCAATCTGGCCTTACCGTCATCTCTCGCCTCTAATACCGTTAAGTGGCATATGAAATGACCAAACTGCCCCTGAGACATTATGAGAAATCAAAGGTCACCCAGCTAGCATAACAACATAATTTTGAGCACTTTAACGGTGTTAGAGGCGGGAGATGACGGTAAGGCCAGATTGGAAAGTGAAACTTCGAGTGAGGCCAAATAGGTAAGAAATTTTATTTCAGGGCCAAGGAAGAAAGACAACTTTAAACCAGGGCCAAATAAGAAATTTTCTCTAAAAGATGGGATTTCAGCTTACAGGAAGTCTGTGGTGATCAAGCCCGAGCCCCTGTTGATGACTCCACCCTATGAGCTCCCATCACAATCCAGGAGGCCAAATCTGTGTTGCGTGGCATGGACAGGAATAGCGCTCCTGGACTGGATGGGTTTTGTTGTTTCCTTCTGTACTGCTGCTTGGGACTTTATCAAGCCAGAATTGGAACAACTTCTGTGTGCCTTCAACAACAATGTGGCAGAAATGGAGGGGATAAATAGAGCCTACATTGTCCTGCTGCCCAAAAAGCCAGGTGTGATCTCACCAGATGCATAGTCCAATTTCTGTGCAAAATTTCTCTGTGAAGCGCATCTCGAAGATCCTCACAAGTAGGTTACAAAATCAAATTCAAAGTCTGGTAGCTCTTGACCAAACTGGATTTATAAAAGGGAGATCAATCTCTGAAAATTTCATCCTTGCCACGGAACTGGTTCAGTGCTGCTATAAGAGGAAAATTCCTACCTTGGTAATTAAACTAGATTTTGCGAAGGCTTATTACTCATTGAATTGTCAGAGCCTCATGGCGATTATGGACTGTTGAGGGTTCTAAAAAAGATGGTGCTTGTGGATCAGGTCGCTTCTCAGGACGTCCATGTCAGCAGTATTAGTAAACGGAGTGCCAGGACCCTGGATAACATGCAAACGAGAGCTGCGACAGGGGGACCCCATTTCCCATACCTATCCTTGCTTGTGGCTGATGTGCTTCAGGCTCTGATCAATCACGACGGCTCTATCTCCCATCCTCTTGCACCAGAAAGGAGCTGCCCCATTCTTCAATATGCGGATGACACGCTGCTACTTATCCCTGCAGAGCTAGGTGCAGTTCAGACACTCGAATCCCTCCTGGACCAATTCTCAGCCGCTACAGGCCTGAAGATCAACTACCACAAAAGCACCTTGGTGCCAATGCACAGTTCTGAAGCAGCGTGCAGCCAGTTCAAAGCAGTTCTGCAGTGCAAAGTTGACAGTTTCCCTCAGGTGTACCTGGGGCTCCCCCTCTGATGTCAAGCTCAATTTGTCAGCCTTTACTCCATTGATTGCAAGAGCAGATAAACAGCTCGCGGGATGGCAAGCGATGTTCTTGAATCCCAAAGGAAGACAAGTTCTTGTGAACTCAGCTGTGGACAGTGCCATATCTTACCTCATGGCTGCTATGCTTAATCCTTAGACTGTCTCCAACAACCGTGACCCAAAATAAAAGACCCATTCATCATTTAGGTGTCGCTATAGGCAAATGTTTCAATACCTATTTTTTATCTTCTCCAACAATAAGACCTAAAAGACAATCATTTTTGCAAATGGGTCTTTAGGAGAGAGGATACTCAGATTTGGGTTATGCCTTTCCTGACACCTAAAATGGGTATTCTATATAAGTACTTTGTTAGAGGCTATATGTATTGTGTTAGAGACCCATTTTAGGTTTAGGTTCCGCAATGCGTCTCGTGTTGAAGACAGCCGGGTGGGGGGGGCTTGGAGTGAAGGACATTGCCGTTCAAAACCAATGCTTGCTGCTGAAACTTCTCAAGAAGTGGATTTGAGCATTTTGAAAGGTAAAAATGCTGTTGATCCTTATTGGGAGGCGCTGCCCTCGCTTCTTCCACAGTACCAGAGTATCACCTTTGTAGACGTTCGTCTTATTTGTTTGGCTTATAAGTCGTACTTTTTCAGCCAACGAACATTATTTTTCTCTCACAACAAATCAACCAACAATACTTTCAGTGATAACTTATCAGCCAAGTGATGGCCGGGCGACAGACTTTTGGAATGACTGCTGGACAGTGAAGGTGCCGCTAGCTGCTTGCTTACTCTTCAGTCATGCAAAGGATAAAGAAATTCAGCTTCGTTTTGAATGTAAAGAAAAAAAAAATAAATTTTGCTTCGAAAAGTGGTAGATAATGGAATTCATGAATTCTCCACACCACGCCTTCCGAGAATGGCTGCAGGAGAGTTGGAACAGGTGTTAAGGTATTATCACTGAGACAGTGCTTGAAGACAGGCCTGTTAGTCTCGGATCGGCGAGACAGTGCTTGAAGACAGGCCTGTTAGTCTCGGATCGGCGGCTAACGCCGATGGCGAGGATACAACGACGGAGACGGAGAAGACAAGACTCAAGAACAAACACAACACACGCGAACACTTGGTTTTGGTGCTGCCTGAAAGCGCAACGGTTTCTATAGTTCTATTTGCCTTTTATTGGAATACAAAGAACAGAGTTGCGCTCGCCATAGCGCGCACGACGTGAGAAGTGTGCGCGTCCATCCCCACGCACCGCGCTCGCCGGCCATGGCTGCATGCCCAGGTGCGTGGCTGAGCGATTCTCATGCCACGACCTCCTACGCGCGCGGCCGCCATAGCCTGGGGCTCACGCGCATGCAACTGTCTAAAACAGAAAGATGCCATGTAATCCTAACTAACTGGCACACACAAGATTACTAACAAAATCTCCTCCTAATTCTTGTGTATGCCCTGTACATCAATGACTCTCATTCTGGAACGCAAGTCACAGAACTGCTCACGCCCCAGGGCTTTGGTCAATATGTCTGCCAGCTGCTCCAATGTCCCAATGGACTGCAGTTGCACCCTATTCTCCTCAACACACTCGCGAATGTAATAATAGCGAATATCAATGTGCTTACTACGGTCGTGGAAGACGGGGTTCTTGCTGAGCGCGATGACGGACTGGTTGTCGATCTTCAAGTTGATGGCGCCGGTCTTCTCCCCTTTGAGCTCTGCAAGAAAACGCACCAACCATACTCCCTGGCATGTTGCAGTAGCTGCGGCAATGTACTCTGCTTCACAGGAGGACAGTGCCACAACCCTCTGTTTCTGTGATTGCTAGGTGATGACATTGCTGCCCAGGAAGAAGAGGACGCCGGTGGTGCTTTTGCGTGTATCAATGTCGCCGGCTAGATCGCTGTCGCTGTAGCCAGTGAGCTGGGCCTCCTTCTTCCTTTTGTAGTGGCAGCCGAAGTGCAAGGTACCAGCAACATACCTCAGCACTCTCTTCATGGCTGCAAAGTGCTCGGTGGTGGGTTTCTCCATGAACCTGCTGATGTAGCCCACCGAGTACGCCAAATCCAGTCTCGAATTCACCAGATAGCGCAGGGACCCCATGATGCTACGGTAAGATGTTGGATCAACAGTAGGAGCAGTATTCAACTTACTAAGTTTCAGCCGAGCCTCCATAGGGGTGTTGCTTGGATTGCATCCGGTCAGCCCTACGTTCTCTAGAATCTTGGCCGCATAGGCGCTCTGGCTGACGGTGATCCCGGCCTCAGTCTGTGATACCTCTAGACCGAGGTAGTAGTGGAGCAGCCCTAGGTCGCTCATCTTGAACGTTGCCTGCATCTCCACCTTGAACGTGTCGAGGTCGATGTTGTTGGCACCCGTGATCACCAGATCATCGACGTACATGCCCACGGCAAGGCGCCGATCACCTTTGCCTCGTAGGTAGACGGCGTGTTCAGAGGCGCTCCTCTGGAAGCCGAGCTTGAGCAGTGACTCATCGAGCTTGGAGTACCAAGCATGTGGGGCTTGACGCAGACCGTACAACGCCTTGATGAGGTGGAGCACCTTGTGCTCGTGCCCTTAGAGAACGAAACCGGGGGGCTGCTCGACGTAGACTTGCTCCTAGAGAACGCCGTTCAGGAACACGGACTTGACGTCCATGTGGTGCACTGCCCAAACTTCGCAAGCAGTGTGGGCGAGTAGCAACCTCATAGACTCGAGTTGTGCCACCGGAGCGAAGACCTCGTCGAAGTCGATCCCTTGTTGCTGCACATATCCCTTTGTGACGAGCCGGGCTTTGTGCTTGGTGATGACCCGGCTGCGTCCTTCTTGGTCTTATAGACCCACTTGAGGCTGATCGGCCTCATGCATGGCGACGGCTCGACTAGCTCCCAAGTGCCGCTCACCTCGATGGACGTCATCTCGTCCATCATTGTGCGTGGCGCCAGCACTCGTGGTGCAGCGCCTCCCTGAATGACGTCAGCTCAGCGTCGCTCGCCAGCAGCAGTCGCTCCTCCAGGTCCTATTCAGTGAGCCCGGCGGCGTAGCCTGCCCAAGCATGTTGTCGAAGTGGCGAAACCGGAGAGGTGTGTCATGGTCGTGGTCGTTGTCCAGCTGCTCGCTGAATCCAGCACTTGGTGGTGAGGCGAACTCGATGCCTTGGTGTGGCTGTGGGCTTGGTGTTGTGGACGCAGAATCGGCTGTAGGTGAGCTTGCATGGACCATGTCATGACTGGTGGTGGCGAGGATGTTGACGATGCTGGTGAGGACGAGCTCGATGCAGAAGGCGATGCCGGTGTACGCGTCGTCGTAGTACTGGTGGTGCTGATCACCGTGGGCTCCACTGGTGCAAGCTGCTCGACGATGAAGTCTGTGGGCTTGTCATCGTGCTCAGCGAACCATGTCCATTGCGCAGCCTCATCGAAGATGGCATGGTGGCTGATGTGGACACACTGGGTCATGGGGTCATAGACGCGATACGCCTTGAGCCCAGCTCGTACCGATGAAGATCATGCGACGACTGCGGTCATCCAACTTCTTCAGGTTCGGCGTGGTCACCTTGACATGGGTGACACACCCGAACGTGCGGAGGTGATGTACCCCCGGCGCATTCCCAGTCCACAGCTCATACGACGTCTTTCCACCGATGCTCTTGGATGATGACCGGTTCAGCAGGTACACGGCCGTCATCACAGCTTCTCCCCAGAACACACCAGGAAGAGCTTTTGCCTTCAGCTTGCTCCACGCCGTGCCCATGATAGTTTGGTTGCGCTGCTCCACGATGCCATTTTGCTGGGGCATGTATGGCGCCACAGCGAACTCTCCTCCATGATCTATGCGGAGGGCCAGCATCTTCTTGCCCGACTTGCGCTCTGCTGTTGCCTGGATGCGCTTGATTGCCGTCGTGGCGGCATCCTTGGAAGGCAGCAAGGAAATCCACATGTACTGGGAAAAATCATCAACGAGTAGGAGAAAATACCGGTTGCCACTGGGAGTTGCCGGCGAGATTGGACCACACAGGTCTCCATGTAGCAGTTGGAGCACCTCTGTTGAGTGTCCCTGTGCACGTTGGGGAAAAGGGGCTCGCCGGTGCTTGTCGGCAAGACATGCCTCGTAGACCTGCTCCACTTGATCGAGCAGAGGCAGGCCATGAACCAGTCCTTCACGCCCCATCTTGCACAGTGCGGCAAAGTGGATGTGGCCGAACCGAGCATGCCATGTCCAGGCATCATTGTCGGTGTGTGCAGCCAGGCAGACTGGCCGTGCAATGGTGACGTAGAACACGTACAGCTGGCCTGGGCTTCGAGCAATCTTCGCGAGCAGCGACCTCTCCTCATCCCGGATGCGCATCACGCCGTGCTCCACCAGCACCTGGTACTCGCCTTCGTCGAGCTGGCCGATGGAGAAGATATTGGTGGTGAGACGCGGGAGATAGTAGACGTTGGGGCGCGATCGGTGCTTGCCATTCTTGCAGGAGAAGAGCACGGTGCCGATCCCCTCGATCCACGTGATGGAGCCATCCCCGAACTGGACGAATCTGGTGACGCCGATGTCGAGGTCGGCGAAGGCTGCGCGTGATCCCGACATATGATGAGATGCACCGTGTGTCAGGATCTAGTGCTTTGGATCCTGGTCCTCTGCGGCGTCGAAGGTGGAGTGGACCTTCTGCTCGACGAGGTGGAGGGCGGCGCCTTCGTGGGTCGCCGGGGTAGCTGGGCGCAGTGGAACTGGCGGTGGCAGCATGGATGTGTGCGGCGGCAGCGCAGAGGGGATCGAGCTATCCTGCTCATGGATCGGACCGACATACACGGCGCCATCACTTGTCATCGGGAATGGAAGGAGCGGTGGAGCTGGTAGCGGTGGCACGGAGGTGTGCTACGGCAGCGGCATGAAGGGGAATGAGCGCACCTGCTCATGGGTTGGACCGATGGCCAGCATAAGAGTGGGCCCATTGTCCTAGGCCATGTGGGCCTGGTCCTCCTTCTTCTTGCTAT